AATTATTTTATCATTTAAAAATACTATAAAATAATTGATTTATTTTATAAACTGATCATAGTAAAGTATTAAATAAATTATAAAATTCACAAATATATTACAAAAAAATTATAGATATTTAAATATCTGTAGAATAAAGCTGAGATTCTTTAAATATCCATAATGACTATTCAATAAATATTCCCGGATTTTAGTCATCCATGAATAGTAGTAATAAACAAATATCTAGATTTTATATAAATATTCATAAATACTTATAAAAAAATCTACAGATATTCATTGAATATTCTGTTTATAAGGTGTGGCAACTTAGTGTAGTAGTCTAGTTGTCACTTTCTCCAAGTAGCAGATCTAGAGTTCGAATTCCACAGACGACAATTTTTGAAAAATAGGCTTGTGTTCGGTTAACAGCTATGCTTATTGGTTGGATCTAATTTGTAACTTTGGTCATACCATCTAGTAATGAAAGAAATGATACAATAAATCCGAGAAACCGGTATAACTAAAAACCCATTTGGGAAGTCCTGAGTTAGGAGTAGCAGTGATCTATGATGGTATCACAAGAAAGCTGAATTCGAATGAGGCCTGAGATTGGAGAACCAAGCGACCAGATCCTAATAGCAGAGAACACACCAGCCGAACTGCCGGGTTGTCACACTGGAGGAAAAGAATATATGCTCTGAAAGTATATACCAAGGGGAGGGCGTCCTTCAGGCATCTAAAGCCTGGGCAGACTGACCTTTCTGAGTTGCTGGCTGGAAGTAAAGAAGGGACCGATAAAGAATCCGGGTAAGAATATGGTCTAATTGTGGGTACCAAAGCTGTTGTAAACCTATACAAGAGCAGAAGTAGGTCTAATTAGGAAGGTTGTGGCTTGTTAGATTGGGTTGTGGCAGCACCCATTGGATGGCTTGAGATACAAACTTGGTTACGGCAGTATAATTGGTACTAGTTAGATAGAGGTTTAATGGTTAGCCCTGACCCCAAGTACATAGATCAAGCTGTGGTGGTAAGTTACTGAAGCCTGGGTAAATACATGAGTAGGACATGTACTTTAGCAAAAAGTTAGTCACTGGTTTCAGATTTGAGGCTCAGTACAAATCCACAGAAGTGGTGCAGCTATCACATCTAGGGCTTAGTAAAGTATCCGGGTGGGGTTAGGTGTTTCAGTAATCGTTAGTTCTAAGGTATAGACACCTGTTATTTAGAAATAGTTCTTATATTCTATTTGCCAACAGGCTTAGAGTTTATCACTTACTATCCCTGTATTAGTTAGCTAGCATACTTTGTACATGTGAATTAATTACTAAAATAAATACTTGGCAAGATATGCCAAAGTTTAAAAAAAAATATATATATATTCTGTTTATATTAATTCTAAACAAATATTCATCTAATATTTAAGACTATTTGCGAATTTTTTGTAATTTAAGTATTCATTAAATATTTACAATATAATACAATCTAGTCCTTAACTATTCATAAATTTTGTATAATAGAATATTTGCTTTTAATTAAATATTTATGAATATGTAGGATTATAAATATGAGTATTGTCAATATAGGCTTTTGCAGTAAAAAGAGCAGATATGTCAATATATATTATTTTGATAATTGAATTTAATTACTTGTTTTGATTTTCTAACTGATCCGGTTTAATCAAAATTCACGATTTTGATTAGTTAAAGATAATATGTTACTAACAGGTAATCTTGTGATGCGTTTTGTTTCAACCTCGCACAACTTTCTTTTACATTATATATCTTGATTTTTTATTATACAAATTGACTTTTATTTATAATTGAAAAATGTTGATCACATTGAAATTTATCAGAATTTAATAAAACTCATTTTTTTATTTTGGAGTCATATCTGCTCTTTCTATTGCTTAGCCTCATATAAACCTGTTATCGGGCTTTCAATGTTTAGTTGGCTTTCTGTATACTATCTATAGGCAATCTATTCCGGTGATAGATTAATAGACAGCATACAGTAAGCCAACTGAATATTGAAAGCCTGATAACAAGCTTTCTATTGACATTACTCATATAAGCAATTTTATAAACAATATCGATATTCTAAATTTTTTCAAAATCAATTTTTACAATGTATCAAATTAATCAAATTAACTCAATTAAACCATTAAAATTGAGCCTTTATAATGTTGTATTTACACAAAATGTTATTGTTTGCTTATATAGCAATAATAATTTGAACGCATTCAAATTAGTATATCATAATCCAAAAATTAAAAATGATTTTTCTAAACAACCTCAAATGATTTTAAAAAGAAGTTTGAATCAAGATACTAGAATTGCAGGTGTTTATAATTTTTTTTGGCGAATCAATATTAAACTTATTGGGGTTTAAAATTTCTAAACTTTAGATAATGATTTTATATAAACGGTAGAAAATATTTTAAATATCGGAATAGGTAGTCTTTATTCATTGTTATTGTAAATAGTGAAAAACTGGTTAAACCATTTTTAAATTCAACTTCAATTAAAATAAAATAATATATAATTCAAATTTTATTCAGAAGCAAATAGTACCAAGCTTGCAAAGTAAGATTAGCATTCGAAAATCCTGATCAGTCAGTAAAAAGTGATAGAGGATTCCTCAAAAGAGGAGAATTTTCAGAAAAAATTAATAAAGTTATAGAAGGCCGTGAACCTGAAAAATACTTTTTACTAGTAGGTGAACAAGAAACTGGGAAAACTGCATTAATTTTGAATACAATGAAAAAAATAAAAGAATGTGATGTTGTATATATTAAAGCACATTTAAAAATTAAAATATTTAAAGATAGATTAGGCAAAGCTCTACAATATACTTATAGAGAAGATTATTTTGGACAAACCTTTTCTAAAGAAGCACCTGAAAGAAATAATTGTTGAAATTTTATAATTTAATATAATATATATGTAATTATTTATCATTATTATTATTATATTAGATTCTGAATTACTTGATGTTGTTACAATACTATGGCCTTCTTGGTCAACATGTAGCAAGGTAACAAGATCACCCGGTGCAGGGACCCTGCTATTGGGGTGTACACAGGATAGAAGTGGAATATGCACTATTTCCACTAGCAAGAGGCAAACGGTTCAACATAGGGCAGTATATGAGTTAATATTTTATTTATAATAGGTCAAAGAGGATAACCTCACCTACTAGAATTACCTTAGAGGGAGTATATCACTTTATGCAAGGACAAGAATAGTAAGAAGGTAAGGCTAGATACTATGAGAGGGTAGAGAATTCTCTGCCTTGAGTAGAAGGGGCAAAGGCTCTCTTTTTATAACTTTTTCACATATAAGAGATGTAATGGTATAACTGCTAAACCGTGTAGAGGTACTAAGAGGTACTCGTACAGAGGTACTGAAAGGTACTCGTATGAAGGTACTAAGAGGTACTCATGTAAAGGTACTAAGAGGTACTCGTGTAAAGGTACTGAGAGGTACTCGTGTGAAGGTACTGAAAGATACTCGTGTGGAGGTACTGGCAGGTACTTGTGTAAAGGTACTGACAGGTACTCGTGCGGCATTACTGTGCCTTAGTTAACTAGCCAATAATATTTCTAGAATTAATACAATAATAAAGATAATAACTAATACTTAAATATAACTAATACTATATACAAATAATAAACTTTAATCTACACTATACTATAATAATGTTAAGTTGTGTTACAATCTGCTTTGTAACATTTTCCTCCCCTTAAGATTTTATTCTGTAAAATCTAAACTTATACTTTAACTACTGTATTTGTTTACAGAAGGTCATGAGTTCATCATAATTCTCCTTGTTATTGCTATATGCAAAAATTCTATTTTTGCTTGTGCTTTTCTTTATCTACTATATGGTTTACTTTTTAGAACAACCATATACAAAAATTTCAATTCGGCATTATTTGGTAATGCTTGGTATACTTGGCAAAAATTTTTGGCCTAGTATGTGTTTAAACATTTTCTTTGTCTATTTCCTCCTTAAATTCTGTGAGGTTCACCGAACTTCTATTTTTGTATATCTAAAATTAGTGTCTATTTCTAATTTGTTCATCTTTGTCTAAATTTGTAAATCACATCATTATTGTTTGTAATTTTTTTTGTTTCTACCATGTAATAATTTTCTTTGTCCTGGGAAAATTATCTTTATTGTTTCTAATTCTATTTATATTCTTGTTTTTCTATGTGTGCTGTTTCTCAAAATTCTACACACAAATCTTCTTTTTCCTTGTACAATTCTTTTTATTTCCTTTTCTATATTTCTTTATGCTAAAAAATTTTTGTCTAATATTCTTTTCTTCTTTTTCTTTTAGTAATAATTTTTTGTTAAATTTTTCTTGTCTTTCTGGTCTTTGCTTTTGTCTTCTGCCAAAAAGTAGGTATACTTTTTGGGCTATGTGCTAAACTTTGTTGCCTTTACTCCTTCGGAGCAATCGCTGGCCTTCTATGTCTGAGTAAGCTAACTTTCCTTTGTGCTTGGACGATTGATTTTCTTCATGACTTGCATAATTGATTGCATAGTCTTGGTGGATACTTTTCCTTTTGTCTTTTCCTCTTTTTTTTCTTTTTCTATACTTCTGTCTTTTAAGTGTATCTATCTTAGAAAAAGCATACTTTTTCTAACTTTTTTCTGTTATTAACTAGATGCTACGTATTTCTCGTAGCCAATCCGTTCTGTCCATTGTCCGGGGTTTGCAAAACCAGGTTGCAAACCTTCAGGCTCAGGTTCAGGAGCACGATCCGACGGAGCTGGTATAGCTAAATTACCAGTATGAAATACAGATAGCAAGGTTGCAAAAAGAGAGAAATAGGCTTCAGGTGCAGGTGATAGATTTGGAGACAATTATAGGGGATTTGGAGTCGAAGATTGAGGCATTGCGGTATATGGTGGAGGGTAGTCCAAGTTTTAGTCTAGTGGAGTTGGTGGTTATTCCGGTTCTTCTTTGTTCTATGTTTTATTTTTCTTTCTTTTTCCTTAATAAATTTTTCAGTTTTTAATTTCTAAGTCTAATAAAACTATCTATCTAATATAACTATTTTAAGTTTAATAAATAAATTAATAAATAAATTTTAATAAAATTTCTAAGCTAATAAAATTCTAAGTCTTTTGTCTATTGAATCTTGATAATAATCTGCTTGCTATTTGTGATATTTTCCACGTCTATTACTAGTAAAGTATTGTTTTAAAATTTGGTCTTTTTCATTTTGTTAAATAACAATACTAATAAAAGCTAGTAATTAATTGTTTTGTCATTCTTAACCAATAAGATCATCAGGTTTTAAACATGTTTTGTCTATTGTAGTTAATAAGGCGTACATAATATAATTTTCTAATTTTAAGAAAATTTTTTTTTTCTTTCCTTTGTTAATTTTAACAACAACAACAATAATAATAACAATAATAATAACAATAATAATAACAACAATAATAATAATAATAATAATAATAAAATAATAAAATAATAATAATAATAAAAATAACAAAATAAAATGCCTCGAGTTCATATCTCTCGTGCTGTCCAATGTGCCAGATGCAGTGGCAATGAGGCTCTCTATGGGGCTCTCATCGAAGTTCAAGATCAAAACAGAAGGTAATATTCATCAATTTTTATAATTGTTTTAGATGAAATATTAATATTAATAATTCATTTTTAGGTTGTTGCATGAGGTGAGATCCTTGAGAAGATGAATCGTTGTGTTAAAAGCGGAGTTGGAAGAAATTCGGTTTTGGGAGGCAGAGTCGGTAGAGGAAAATTGAAAGAGAAATGAGGAGCATTGGCAAGTTGTTCAAGAGAGGAATCAGTTGTGAGTTCAGGTTGCTGAGTTGGAGAGGCATATAGATAGTGTTACAATAGATTTAGATGCAGAATTTGATATTTAAAATATATTTGTTTTTCTATATTTTTTTTTCTTCTATTTTTCTCTTTTATATGTATATTTTATGTTATTTTCTTTTCTTTTTCGTTAAATAAATAAAAAAAAATTTTTGATAATAATAATAATAATAAAAAAAAAATCAATCATTCGAATACTTCAACTAAGAACTACACTGAACTTGGTATCTAGCAGGTAGCTCTCTTAGCCAGTTTCGAACCTGGGTCTGCAAATAGTAGCTCTCCACCGTGACTGTTAATCCATAATTCAAATGATACTAAAAATTTTAATATCACTCTTTATGGATATTAATAGAAGCACAATCATGTGTCAATTTTCTTTTTGAATTTTTTTTAAAAAAATTATACATGCTTATATAAGTATTGGGTGGAGTATTGTAGTTTGTTGGTTTCGTTGATTTTGGAGTTTAGTTAATAATTCAAAATCTAAACTTCAAATTTTGTTAATAAAATCTAAGTTCGAAATTATCGAATATTAAGTTTAGGAGTATTAAATAGTTAAAAAGTTTTCTAAGTGTCTAAGTCTAAAAATTTCTGAATGTCTAAGTCTCTAAGTTATAATCTATTGCTACTTTAATTATAACTCACAATTCCAATAAATAATAATATAGGTAATAATAAAAAAAAAATAAAAATAAGTAAAAATAAATAATAATATAGATATAGTTATAAGAAAATAAAATAAATGTATAATAAGAAAATAAGAATAAATACTAAGAATAAATGATAATAATAATAATAATAAAAATGTTAAGCAATGTTAGTAGTCTTGTGGTCTTCTGGTTGTAGGTATAGATCTTAATTTACAAGTGTTAAGTTTTTGATTTCCCAGTTAATATTAACACTTCTTTTCTTTTTACAAGGGCTTCTGGTTATTATCTGACTATTACTCTACAAGATCTTTTCTAATTAGGGCATTGGGTAGGTTTTTATCTTTAGTTCTTTGTTGGTCAGTCCCGTGATATCACTCATGTGATTTAAGGTATTTATATCAGGTATTCTAAGATCACCGGTTTTATCTTTTTCTCTTCTTTGCTTATTGATATTTTACCCCTAATTCACTTTTTCTTTTATTTATTCATTTACTTATTAACAAACCTATTTATTTTTGTTACTCTTTTTTTTCTTGGCTAGATCTCGATCATTAATCACTTCATCATTCTTCGTCACGTTGGCATCTTCATATGTTGATTACATAGTAACTTTCCGTATAGCTTGTGGATCTCAAACTACTTTTTTTTTGATTTCAATATTTAGTATAAGACTTTTACTAATGTTCTACTTTTATTCTATGTTAGTCTTTTGCCGATTATTAGGTCGATCTTGGATTCCTTTGGCATTACCTCAGCTTTTCATCGCGTCGGTGTCTTTTTAAGTCGATCGTAGATTCTTACACTTTCATAACAGTAACTTTCATATACAGTTACTAACAGCTTGGTAGGTAGTTTCTCAAGCTGATTTTCTTTCGTCAAGAACTAGTTTTGGGGATTCTAACTTAGATCAACTTCGATCTTAGTTGTTTTCGAAGATAAGAACTTTTCTTCGTTCGTTCTTTGACTTCTATGCTATTAACCTAGCTATCTTCTTTCTTTTTTTAAAAAAAAAAGTACTGTTGCTGAGTATTCTTAAAGCGTCTAACTAGGTTTTTGTTAAGTACTTGTTTAAGACTTTATATATCCTGAAGTCTTGATCATTAGATCATTTTTAACAATACTCAATAGAGCAATATTGTAGTTCTTATCAATATTCAATAGGGCAATATTGATAATGGGATATTTTGATTAAATAGAGATAAGTATTTCTGCTTGTCTTGTATATTCTTTTGCCTTCGGGGTTCCTCCTTCATCTTTAATATCAGTGTCTTTTGTAGGTCTAAGTTCAAAGCGGTTATCAAGTAGTCATTAAACCTTCTATGTGGCATTCTGGCTTGGTAATCAATAATGGTAGAAATATATCTTTACGGGTCGAATTTGTGGATTTTTTTTTTCTTTCAGCAATCGTTTTACCCTTTGTTGAATTCGTTAAGACCATGCTTGTTATCTTGACACTAGAGTATAGTAACTCTAGAGCGAAAGGTATGCGATTGGATCTTTCCAGTTTTGATCGATATCAATACCATGGTTCTTGAGCCTTCGGTAATTTCACTTTATAGTCTTTAATATCGGTTTAATCCTTTTAGTAGATACTTCTATCGTCAAAGAACCTCAATCAGATAAATCATTTTCTTGGATTTGCCAATTCCAAGCCTTGATGTACATATAAATTACAATTCGATACAATTAATTGATCTGGGATTCAGCACCTAGTAGCTATATATATAAAAAAATAATACTAATAATAATTTCATTAAATAACACCAGGGAGTACTATAACTCCAAATAATAATAATAATAATAATAATAATAAACACTAGGGAGTACTATAACTCCAAATAATTTTGATTTTTAACACCAGGGAGTACTATAACTCCTTAATTAATCCACACTAGGATTAATTCTCATAATAAAAATAAGAATACTAATAATTTTCTTTTATGCATACCAGGATACATTTTCGCATCGCGTCTTACAGGCAGGCTCGCCCTTTGCAATAACAAAGTCCTTTTTGGTGTACAGCTTATCGGCAGGCTCACCAACTTGCCTTTTCGCATGACGGCTAACAGGTAGTGCCACCTTCCTAATGCCTTTTTGGCGTATGGCTTACTGGTAGGTCTTACCAATTCATTAATAATTCAAAAATAACGTAATAATCCAAGGTATCAAGGTGATTTTCCAGTTGTCCATTGTGTGTCTTATGAATATCTAGATAAGTAATTCGTTTTGTATTTTTTTAACTTTCATAATTTGTATTTAACTTTTATTTGAATTCAGTTTTCTATTTCAGGTTTTTAGATAATCGGATTTCTACCTGGTCTCAAAAGTTTTATCGTGGGTTTGCACCACTTTCGTATCGGCTTGCATTCCTCCATACCTTGGGTATTGGACAGATGCTTTCAAGAACTTTGGTATAGTATGAAGCTTCCGTTTGTCTTTTTAGAGCTTCTCCAATTTACCAGAGCGACTGGTAATAGAATTCTTGTATTGCTTGTTTTTCTTTATGATTGCTTCTTTAAGATCGTCAAAATAATTTATTGTTGCAGTAGAATATCGAATGGTTTTTAAATAAATAGGGCTTGATATTTTTATTTTTTGTTAGTTTGGTTTTGGTAAAAATAAACTTTTAAGCCTGTATAAATTCCACAGTTTCTGTTGATCTGATCAGTGATTTGATCAGGAATAATTATCCATCATTGATATATTTCTATATAATTTATTTGCATTAGCGTCCATCATTGATATATAGGGTCTATAACTTATTATGATTAATCTATTCTATTAATTTAATATGCAGAATATATATATCGCTTTATTATGCTGATTCAATTTGTTAATTAATTTCACTTTAGCATAACTATAGTTAGTTGATGACCTATTTCTGACTTATCTGCTACTGTTTAGTTATATGCCAAGGGCATATATATAACCAAGTTTTTTATACCAGTTTCTTTTTAATATGCAACATTTGGGATCAATTATACTTAGATAATTTTGATAATTTTCGGTTTGCCGGCCAAGTTACGTGCTGAAAATAGATATAAACATAGTCAAGTTTTTATAGCTAGTTTTTTTTAAATTCAACTATTTGAAATTGATTGTATTCCCGTGGTTCTAACTAAGGTCTACCTAACATAATAAATTTTGCTATTGTCTTGCTAGTCAGGATACATATTAGGTGTTTCATGCTTATTGAATCACATGTATACTTGAAATGTGCAGTTGGTTGTACGTACGTACGATAGATAGTACGTAATAGTTAGAGAATAATGGTCTTCCAATTAAGGTAACCATTAATATATACAGCATGAAGTACTTGGAGCATGTAGATTATACTTTAATTATATCTGGGCTGTGAGTATTGTTACACTTAGGTCCTGATTATTTTTGCATAGATCGTACTTCAATTTTTGTTATGCTGGAAGTATAATTGCACTTTAGGTTCTATGTTAGTAATTTGACTTTCCAAAGTAAGTTTAGCTCTTCCCCGATGATATTAAGCTTTCCAGGGATGATTCTGATTTTTCGGGTATAATTTTTGGCTTTTCGCTAGAAGGCACCAAAATGTTACAATGCTACGGCCTTCTTGGTCAACATGTAGTAAAGTAACAAGGTTACCCGGTACAGAGACCCTGCTATTGGGGTGTACATGGGGTGGAAGTGGAATATGCACTACTTCCACTAGCAGGAGGCAAACAGTTCAACATAGGGGCAGTATATGAGTTAATACTTTATTTATAATAGGTCAAGGAGGATAACCTCACCTACTAGAATTACCCTAGAGGGAGTATATCACTTTATACAAGGACAAGAATAGTAAGAAGGTAAGGCTAGATACTATGAGAGGGTAGGAAATTCTCTGCCTTGAGTAGAAGGGGCAAAGGCTCTCTTTTTATAACTTTTTCACACATAAGAGATGTAACGATATAACTGCTAAACTGTGTAGAGGTACTAAGAGGTACTCATACAGAGGTACTGAAAGGTACTTATATGGAGGTACTGAGAGGTACTTGTGTAAAGATACTAAGAGGTACTTGTGTAGAGATACTGAGAGGTACTCGTGTGGAGGTACTGAGAGGTACTGGCAGGTACTTGTATAAAGGTACTGACAGATACTTGTGTGGCATTACTGTGCCTTAGTTAACTAGCCAATAATATTTCTAGAATTAATATAATAATAAAGATAATAACTAATACTTAAATATAACTAATACTATATACAAATAATAAACTATAATCTACACTATACTATGCTAATATTAAGTTGTGTTACAATTTGCTTTGTAACAATGTTGAAAAAGCTTTAAATGTAGTAGAAAATGTTGCCACAGAATATGACAAAAAAAATAGTTGCCTATTAGTTCTTGTTATAGATTATATTTATGAATTTAAATATGGTGATGAAGATAGTGAAAACCTGTTAAAATTATTACAACAACATGCTGAAAAATAGGCTGCTAGAAAAATTGTAACAATAGTATTTAACACCAATGATTATTCAACATATGAACATATAAGTAAATATTTCTTTATATATATATATATATTCTTGTTTGATTTTGATATACTTATTTTTTCACTTTTAATTTATAATATAGAGAGATGCTTCTCAAATAGATGCTATAATAGTAAGAGACCTAACGCCTAAAGAAGCAATAGACTTATTAAAATCAAACCAACCAGAATCTGAAGATGAATTGGAAAAAATTGTCAAAAGAATTTGCTGTCATTTTTCTTATATTAATAAATTAGCATTAACTAATAAAGAAACTGATATTTATGGTAAAAATCTCATTTTATTAGAATCTACTATATTATTATGTGTATATATATGTATATATTATTGGGCAAAAATTTGTAAATAATAGCAATTTGGCTTAACCGGGCAAATGATTGGCTAACAAGTGCCACGAAGTGGCACGTGTCAAACAATCATTTGTCCAGTTAAGCCAAATTGCCATATTCACTTGCTGAGTTTTTTTTTTGAATATTAGAAAAACATAATTACATCATAACATATAAAAAAAATAACAGAAAGAAAGTTTTTTATAATCATATGAGTTTGTCAGATAGCTTTAATTTATTTTTATAATTTTTATATTTTATCTCTATTAAAAACTGTTAAAAAATTAGAAAATGAAAAACAAACTTGGATAATTAATCAAATAGGTCTGATTCTTAATTTTGAAGAAGAAGCTCTTAATAAACAAGAATATGCTTCATGTACTTGAAAATTAATTCATAAAATTGTAAAATCTAAAAATCATTCTGTTCTACTAAATGAAGGTAGAAAATTACTGGAGATCCAAAATGGATAAAAATGATAGATCATGATAATATTATTATTATTAATGAACATCAAAATATTAAAGCTGATTCAAAAATTCCACTAAATATATTTGAAGAAATCGTTAATCAAGATGGATTTGATAAGTTGCTAGATGATGTTAGTGAAAGAGTAAAGAAGTTGACAAAGCACAAAAAATAATCGAATTGATATGGAGTAAAAGGAATAATCATCTTATTGTAGATTTGAAAAAAAACTAAAAAATTGATTTTTTTAATAAATATTAGTATTGTAGAAAAATTTTTTGATTTATATAAAGTCTTTGATATTTAGTAGCTTGACAATATTTAAATTTATATATTGTATTATTTGTACTTTGATTCTAATACTTTTTCAAGTTAGATTTATCTAATATATTATTAAAGTAGTTTTAATATATAGTGAAATCTTTTTAAGTACAATTTATATCGACCAAATTTTAAAATTTGGTACTTTATATTTAAAAAATTATTTATAAAATTATATATATTATTTGTAGCATATTTACAAAGATAAATTTTATAGGAAAATTTTAAATAGTATACTTTCTTTTGTATGAATTAAATAAGTATAATATTAGAGTTAGAGTTAGAATTAGGGTTAATATTATGGTTGCTTATTAGTAAAATTGTACAAGGAATATTTTTTATTAGTCATGCAACAGGGGTTACCCTAGTACTAATTGCACCTCTATAAGTACACACTCTCTAAATGCACGCTTAAGTGCTGGCCCAAATATATACTTGACCTCGATAAATGCACTTTTTCTTATTATTCTTTATATGCATATTAGGGAGCTTTCAGAAATTATGTAATATTTTGTTATTAATAAATTTTAAAATTTCTACCCACCCACCCACATCTGATACTTTATTAGCCAATCAAATTGCATAAAAATTTAAATAGTATGAATTAATAAAAATTTTAAAATTTATATAACTTTTAATCTATTGGACCAATTTGGATGATTTAACTACCAAAATGATTTCTAAATAAGAAGATTCTAACAAATCCAAAATCATTAAAATTCACTTACAGAATCACAAGGTAGATAATTTTTTATATTATTTAAATATATATAAAATAATACAAAATATTGAATATTTTGTGATCCTATAATTGGATTTTAATAATTTTAGGCTTGTTAAAATCCTCTCTTTGAGAGGATAATTTTGGTAGTTAAATCATCTAAATTCACTTAGTAGGTCAAAAATTATTCAAGTTTAAATATTTTATTATTATATTATATACTATCCCTTAATATGTAGACCAACGCAGGCAAATTTGCCTGCGTTTTTGCACTTTTTTAGCTCTGATTTACTTT